TATTTAAAACCACATTATACCACAGGAATTTTATATTAGAATTTGATATTCAAAACAATATACATGTATTTCTTGATTTTTGCCTGTGAAGGAAGTTTTTCTCTCTTTTTTCTTTCTTTGATTTTTCTGATCAAAAAACATTTTATCAAACATTGATAAACCAAATAAAATCACCATCTATAGCTGTTACAAGGGGTTTGCTAATATCACTGAGTGGTACCATTTTGTTTCCCTGGAATTTATTCTGAGGTGGGAAAAAAAATATCTAACAAGACCCACACTGTTTCACAATGCCTGTATAAGTCTGACAGCCTTCCAAAGTGAATTACTCCTCCTCTGCTGTAGCTATGTACAGTTGGAGTTCTTGTGTAAATACTAAATGTCAAAACCTTATAGTAAAGAAAAATTGTGACAATGTATGCTACATTTCCCCTGCTTTAGAAATTATCTGAGATAGTATCTGATTCACCCTTTAGATATAAATCAAAATCAAAGAAAGAGAAAAGAAAGAAAGAAAGGAAGACTTCCTTCAAAACAACATTAAAAGTATGCTGCACTAGTACTTCCACAACCAAATCTTTCCTTGCTTTAGAAATTATCTGAGACAGTATCTGAATCACCCTTATCAATTAGGCAATTAGCACTTACTTGCCAAGAGGCCACCCTTTGCTACTCACACAATGGCCTTCTACTTGATTGTTATCTTCACCTGTCTGGCTGGAGAGTAAGTCCAAGTTTGGTCTGAATGTGTGTGGGGAGATAATTGCTTTGCCACTTCAGTAGAATTTAGACCAATTATAGTCTTACTCACTGCAGTTTAAGTTTGTTTTTAGTCTTAAGACTAAATTAAGAGTCCCTCCTTAATTTTTAAGACCGGTTCAGTCTAGTGTTAGACTGAAATTGCACTTTAAGATCAAATCAGGCCCACTAGTGCCCCCTCCCCCCTCCCCTTCACCATGCAGACTTCCTCAAATGTCTTCTTTACAAAGTCTAATTTTCTGTGGCTTAATGAGTCGCCGAGAGCTTACTCTTCTTCTCTTAGGATTTTGTGTTTCAGGCCAATCAATACTGTACAGATCATGAATGGCAGACTAAATCTTTAATTTTCCCACTGAGACTTAAACAGATCAGAAGTCCTAGCTGTTTCCATTTAACTTGGGTTGATCTTTTTCAGTAAAGCATAAGCAATAGGCAGTTTTTTTTTAATAACTTGTTTGTCAAGCTCTGTCGACCTAAAAATGACCAAATAAGAAAAAAAAAAAAAAAAATGAAAGAAAAATGAAACCAAAAATGACCTCTGACAAAAATAAAAATTATTAAAAATAAATTTAAAAGTCAGCCTTACAGGCAGGTGCATGACCAAAAGGGCAGCTTTTTCATAAACAAAATTTTCCTAGCTTATTATGTGCTTCCCTTTGTTTACCAGTATGCTAATGCAATATATTGTTTGGTCAATTTGCAATCAATTTATTGATTGGAGAATAATTATGTCATTATGGAGAGAGAAGGCTTTGGCACAAAGCTTCTGTTTGAAATCTGAAATGGAATTATACTGCATTAGATCTAATATTTCAAAACTTGTCTGTTTTTTATACTTTCAATGGCAGGAAAGATCCAGTTATTCATAAATCTTCCAATAAGCCTTCAAATGTGAATCGGAGATGGGACCTTTCTGTAAAAAGATAAGAATTTTCAGGCAATCTTCTGAGCTGTTATGAAGAATTGGTGCATAAAGCGTATTGATTCAGGAATCTTAAAATGGGATTTTTCTCTAAAGCAAAATAGCGATAGTCCTAGATGCTGAGGAAGATCTGAAAATGAAAGTGATCCTCCCAGTAAACTGAATTAATGGGCTTGTCCAATGCATTTCTCAAAATGTTTTTAAATCTTAAATCTAAATAAAAGAAAAGCATTATTCTGAATTTTCAACACTTGGTCCTTATTCTTTTCACAACGTTACTATAGTTAATGGCCCATTACCATGACAACGGGCCGACATAGTACATGTGCATGTGTGGTGGGTTCACTGAACATACATTTTAGTTTGATGCTTGACATATTATTTGACTTAACACTATTTTCTGATTTGACTAAAAAGAAAAATTGTAACATTTCACCTTTTTTAAAGCAAAATTGTCAATGTTTTGATTTGACTATTTTCTTGCTATGGCCAATAAGTATTTAATGAATATTTTTTTCTAATTTTTTGCCACAAAAAATATATTATACTTGTCTAGAACTTTTTGATAGTCAAACATTTATGGATATCATTTTCTCATAATAAGTGGCAATAATTAGCCCATAGCACCACCGAATTACACCTTCACTCGTTTGCTTATTTATCATTATGACAGCTGTTGAAAGCAAATCTATTAGTAGACCTGTATTCACACTATATATAATAGTACACTGTATATACTTGCATGGTTTAGACCTGTATTGATCAAAGTGCATTGATTGCAATCAGACTGGTGTCTGCACAGCAGAAGCACACCATACAACAGCTGCATATACACTATAGCTATATCAGGGAGGTCAGTTTTTATGTACCACATGTTGCAAATTAAAGGAGAAAAAATTTAAAAAATTGTTTGGTTTTTGAAAAAAGAAAAAAAAATTGGCTTTAGTTGTCATGTAGTACTTTAAATTCTCAATTGGATTTGAGATTAACAAATGAGAATTTAATCTACTCGTTGGACCAGTTTTTTGACTTCACTCATGATGGTTGTAACCGATCACTTATGACAGGAAAGCATTTACATTATAGGGGGTCACTCAAGTACTAGTACAAATAAGGGTGTCAAGGCTATGTTTTCTAACTAGCCATTGAATTAACTCCAAAGAATGAAAATGTTATTGCCCAACTCACATGCATTCAAACCTTTTTCTAGACATAGCTTATGATATTTTAGATGATCTGTATTTTTGGAACAGGTGTATGTAACTTGGTTATGGGCCAAAAACTAGGGGGAGGAGAATTCTTTGCTTATATAGGGGAATGCGGGTATTTATTTCCCACGTGTGTGCTGCATTGTTGATGACGTCAGAATTGATTTATGCGTATCTGACCTTCACAAGTTCACATTTACTTGTACCTTCACCTTGTCTTAGACCCCATTCCCATACCTAGATCGATCTAGCAGGATTGACCCATCTTTTTAGCTATGTTGCTTTCAGCTCAAGCGGTTCTGATGTCTGGCATGCCTACTGACGCTGTTAGGGGTAATTAACTAGCGTTTAGCAGCTTTAGTAGGCATGCCAGACATCTAAGCCACTTAAGCTGAAAGTGAGAAACCCCTCGGAGATGGATCGTTCGTGTTAGATTGATCTAGGTATGGGAATGGGATCTTATATATGTATTTACCATTGTGTCCCGACTATCACATTATTCCTTGTCACTGTTCTGAATATAAAACTGTCCCATCACACAGTCCCACTCTCCTGCCTGTCCCACCTTTCACACTGTCCCGCATATCCCACTATCCAGCCTATCCCACTGTCAGACGCATCCCACCCAAAACATAAATTCTTCTTTGAAAATATTTCCAGTTTTCGAAATTGTAGGATGAGAATAAATATCAAATTACCTGACATTTGCTGTAACTTTTCCTTTCTTCCCTTTTTTGTTACATTCTACAAAACAAGTCAATTCCAGAATGTCATAATGTGATAAGGCAATTGCCAGATTGCGTGACAGCTTATTTAAATTTCCACTCTTTTTCCAACGCACAAAAAACAGGTTGCAGAATATTGTATGTCATCTTCCTACACATTTGTAGAAGTTCTCATGTCATTTGTGCACAGCTTCTTAATCATTCAGGAGCATATATTTTTCTACCTGTTACTGCTCGTCAAATCTGAACCAAGCTGATGGATTTTATTTACAAAATCGGTGCTTTAGGATCAAGAGAAGAAATAAATGATTGGTAATTTCTTCCAAGTTGTTATCAGATTTTTCCCCTATTTATATGTCTTAGATGTATAAACCTTGGTTAAAATAGATAATTAAAAGAAATGATCACTGGAAAAAAGGTGTTTAGTATTTTTCCATTATTACCGTATTACCTATAGGTACCGTATTACCTATTAGCTAAAGTGCACCAATCCGTCTCCCTCATATTTACCAAATGTTCGTAAAGTTCATGGATACATGTACTATAAGAGTAGGTAGGCTTTAATTAAATTGTGTGAGAGAGTAGGTTAACCACTAGTGCAAATTTTATTTTTGAATCAAACCAATAACAATAAATAAATCCTTTTCAATCACAACATATTTTGAAATGCTTAAAAAATGAATATCTCTAGTAGTGAAAAGGTTTGAAATATTTGTTGCTGGTTTATCTTTATACTAGGTATTCATCAAAGTCTCTTGATTTTTTTCAGTGAAATTGATGAAATTGAGTTAAGTGCTAATTAAGCTTTTCCATAAAATGTTCCACCTGGCCACTATTGGTCTGATAGACACATTTGTGGAACACTTTGTAGGAGAAATGACAGATGTTTATGAATTTTCTCTGCACTGTATAGTCATAAGTGAAGCTACTGTAATGGTTGATGATTTATGATCGAAACTCAATATGTATGATTTATTGATGAAGTTGTGCAGAGGGAGGTGAATTAAATAGCAGTAATTAGGAGGGAGAAAAACAACTACTTGCAACAGCATAATTAGTATTTGAACACTTCTTATTCTTGTTAAGAGGTGGTTTTTGGTGTCTTTGTGTTCCAGTGGTTTGTACCAATTTTTTTTTTTTTATTTTTTGTTTATTATTTATTATTATTATTATTATTTTTTTTTTTTTTGCACATTTTTTGGAATTTAGTTTAAATACACATGTACATTGTTGCTGATTAATTTCAGAGGATAAAGGGATATGGGGGAGTTCTTCTTCTTATTTTTTTTTTCTAAAAAGAATAAAGGGAAGAAGTGAAAAGCGTACCCTTTTCCCTTAATGTACTAATAAAAGCTTATATTACAAAACATTGTTCTTCTTTTCCAGTTGGTTCCTGGTTCATCTCCCCAGTGCTGTCTGGCCTTGTGTCTATAGGATTGTTTTGGGTTATCTCACTGCTTGTCCTCAGAAAGGTAAGGACAGTTTACACAATGGTGCAAACCAGGGTCAAACTGTACTAATATTAATGTACTTAATGGTTGCAAGCCTGGATCGTTTTTTTTTTTTTTTTTCTGGATAATGTTAATTGGTGTGCTCAATTAGATAAGGAAATTTACACTTTAAGGGGCTCGGCTGGTGTATTAACTTATCAAATTTTTGCTGGACGTCATGTAGCATGCAGATGTTTATTTTGTTTTCCAATCAGTGGATATTTGGATATTTATATTTGTTAACAGAAAAATCAGTTATTTAAAAAGAAATTAAATCAAATTTAGCCATCCAAATAAAATTTGCTAATGGTATCTTAGTTGAAAAATACAATACATATAATATGGGAATTGATATATTTAATTTTAGGAGGACCAACTGAGGCATGGTTTACGTCTTCTGCCCATATTCTATGGGTGCACTCTAGTCATAAATGTCTTCTCCATCTTCTACGATGGCCCAGAAAGTAAGTAAATAAATGTCAAATTTGTTAAAATGTCTAGAATTTTATGCCTTTTTCAACTGCTATAACTCTGAGCTGTAGAAAAAAAAAAGAGAGAGAGAGTGAGAGAGAAACAGCAACACATTTTGAATTGGCAATTTCTTTAAAGTTTTTTATGGTAATTCTTATACATACACACACACACACACACACACACACAAAAAAAAAAAAAAAAAAAACCCTAATAAGTTGGAGTCTTATAAATGTCAATAAAATTATCTTAATACACTTTTTATACTTTTTCTTCAATGCTTGATTGGATTATGCTTATAAATACTTATTTTTGTCATTGTGACAAGTTTTGAACAAAGATGGTTTAAGATGCAGTTTTAACGGATTTGAATGAATGACTTAAGTTTTTACTGGTGTTTTGTTATTTTTCAGTGCTGGGCTTCGACAAGATTCCGTTATGGGGGATATTTATCCTAAGTTTTGGCTCGGGATTGATATGCGCCTTTCTAGTGAGGGTTGTTATGGTGCCATGGCAACGGAAGAAAATATTAAGTAAATATTTATGTGTGTAAGGGACAAATTTGAGTTAAATTTTTTGTGTAAGAGGAATAACCTAGGAGACGAGTTTTTAATGGTCTTCCAAAGTCCCATGGCAATGAAAGAAAATATTAAGTATATTACTCACAAGTATAGGTTGCTAGATGTAATTATGATCTAAATAAAACTTGAAATAAGAGGGATGAACTAAAAGTTTAAAGTTCCCTGAATAGAAGTTATTGATAAGAAGTAGCGTGAATGAATCTGCCAATTTTTTCACTGGGTGAATCAGGATTTATGAGTCTCAGAATGATTCAAGATTGCATAAATTTCTTAAGTTTATACACAAACTACAAACTTATGGTAACTCAATCTTTTCAAATGGGAAAATTGTGTATTTTACAACTACCGTATGTTTTTAGTTATAAACTCTGAAAATTAGAACACACTTGTAGAGTGGAAGCCAAATAATTAAAAACAGAATATGATATTTAATTATTTCAGAATTATGTAAAATTGTCAAAGATTGAGTTTTTCTCCAATTGATTCAAAGATAGAATCATTACTGTAAGTCAGTTGAATTTGATTATTGTGGATATGAGACTATAAACTAATCTTTGAAATTACCTTTATTTAGATTCAGCACAGGAGATTTCATACAACGCTGCCACGACAGAGAAGTCAGAATGTAACGGAGCGGTCAAGTTTACATTTGGAAGTCAAGTCAACAAGATAGGAGGTGGATCTGGAGGCAATTCTGGTAATTACGAATTAGATAAAAATATAAGGTGTGTTTTATGTGTACACGCACATACATGCATGTGTGCTAATGTGTGCGTGTGTGTGTGTGTGTTTGTTTTTAGAGGAGGGCATGTAGTGTAGCTATGAACTGTAAAAATATTACTGGGAAATCTGTGTGTGAATTTCCTAGGATTTGTTCACAGGGGTCTATTTCTCCAACATTGCCAACAGAACGAATTGCGTATTAAATATTGGAAATTAAAGTGCCATATTAATAGAACAACACATTGTCCAATCAAATATGTTTTATTATAATAGTAGAGGTGGATATCAAAGTTCTTAATTTTGCAGGATTTTCTTTATTTGGAGAAATTGAAGACTTAAAAAGTTGCTGGATTTTACAAAAAAAGTTATATAAACAGATAAATGAGAAAATTTCATGAATTCAAAAAATATATTTTTTAATCAGTAGAGCATTTGTGTGGTACATGTATGTTTGGAAATTCCCTGTCCCCAGTCTGGTTATTTAAGGTCTTGGTTTATCAGGCTGTGAACTTAAGAAGAGGTAATAGATTTAATGTCTCGAGTGTCCTTTACCAGACCTTTGGACGTCTTGTTGACACCCCTTGTCATGTGTTTACATATTTATTTATTTAAAAGTCAGTGTCCATTTGCCCCTAGTAGAGTTAATGCATACTGTAACTACTAATTGAATTCCAATGAAATGTGTTTATGAATCTCCACAGTGCAAATTACATGTATATGTGCTCATATTAAAAAAAAAAAAACTTATAATCTTATTCTAAAGCTATGAAAAATCAGTTGTTTTTTTGTCAGTTAGAAGGCACATTTTGAGGGAAAATGGTGAACCTTGAAAGAGTGAGATAATGGAATAAGTGAGGGGTTTGAGAATTTTACACAGTTACTGTAAGCTCATAGCAACAGATTAGTTTATTTTTGTTTGCCAAGATCTTGTCTGAGCCGTCAGAACAGACACATGATCTTAACTTTTGTACCCCTAAACACCTGCCTTTCACCTGTAAGATAAGTGACCCGATTATGTCTGGATTTTCCAGACTGCGCATGGCTTCGGCTGTCTCATTGTCTCGTTTTTTACTTTCCTGTCTGGGAAAAGTGAATTTGCATTGAAAGCCTTGTTTAGAATTGAAACAGTTTTAAAGTCGTGATGTTTTCGAGTTTTCGAGTAAATTTAGACATTTAAATGTTTACTGTATGTTTTTTGTTACAAGGAGGTATTATCTGTCTACACATCCTGCATATATATCTGCTTATCTTTCCCAAAATAGACCTTAAGAATAGTAAAACACCTGAAATAAATGTAAATAATATTGAGAAATTGAGATATTGAGAATCATGAATGAATATTTTTATTACAAATGCATGCACAAAGATATTTAATCCTAGTCCAGAGACAGGTCAAGTCATGAGCAAAAAAAAAAAATAATAATAATAAATAAATAAATAAATAAAAAAATAAATAAATAAAAAAATAAATTAAAATAAATAAATAAATAAATAAAAACAAAAATGGCTGTTTTCTTGAAGATCCCATTTGGTGAAAAAACTTGGGATAGGATATCATTGATTAACCATGTATCTAAACTTTAAGCCAGGTCCTCCTGCTAGTCCCATCTTGCTACAAAGAATAAATTAATTGGTCGAAATGATACCAGGTGAATTTCCTGCAACTTGATTCTTTATGCAGCTCTTGTGAATTCCTTACTTTGGCCGAATAAGTCCACTTTTTTTTTTATTTTGGCTGAATAAGTTTCTCTACTTCCAGAGTCAAGTGACCTGTAGTAATGTATTCCCTGCTTGTTCTGTCTTTTCTTGATTTTAGTCTCAGTTTTATTTTTGTCTCGTTCACATGGATGTCACGTCTGCAGTCGGAGAATCATTCATGGTTGACCTACCTACCCCCTCCCCCTTTACGACCACCCATGTGAAGCTCAGTACTAGCATTTTCTTGATTTTTTTGAATACGGATAATTTTTTGAATAAGGATAAATTTAGAAAAGTGCCAGCAGAGTGGTGGACTTCAGACCTATAGCCAGCTGCACAAAATAATTGTACCTGAGAACTGCTTTCAACTTTTAGACCAAAACTTTTTGTCCACTAGACACAAAATATATCTATTTAGTGAAATAGTTTTATATTAGGGTAAACATGGCTATATGAACATGGCTCAAAACAATACCTTATTGAAGTATTTAAGAATTATGAAAGATAAATAGCTTTGCAGGATATTTATAGACATAAAAATATGACCTTTGGGTCATTTTCATATGTATATAGTATACTTTTAATCTCAATGAAATGTCTGTCACAAGCAAAAGAATTTATGGAATCACTGTATGAAATAATATATTTATTTGTTAATTAATGTATTTAACTTATTTATTTATTTATTTTCAGCTGACAGTTCAAGAAGGCCGTCTTACACAGAATCAATGGAAAATCCCATTATTATGCCTGAAAAACCAACTGAGAACGGATCAGGTAAGCATTACATATTTGAACTTTTTGATTTTAGAAATTCAGTTTACTTTCTGTAACATGCAAACAATTAAAATATTTTAATAGAAAGATTAATTTTTTTCTTTCAAAACACTGCAAATTTCAAACAAATATGAATGAGTGGGATATCACACTTATGAATTTACAAGTGTCATATCTTCATGTTGCTCTATCACAGTTTGCAACCTCTTACAATGTTTTTTGACATCTCCATCACAGCTCCGCCACAACCACTTTTCATAAATATTTGCTGACATCTCCATCACAGCTCTGCCACAATCACTTTTCATAAATATTTGCTCATATCTCCATTACAGCTCCGCCACAACCACTTTTCATAAATATTTGCTGACATCTCCATCACAGCTCTGCCACAACCACTTTTCATAAATATTTGCTGATATCTCCATCACAGCTCCACCACAACCACTTTTCATAAATATTTGCTGATATCTCCATCACAGCTCTGCCACAACCACTTTTCATAAATATTTGCTGATATCTCCATCACAGCTCTGCCACAACCACTTTTCATAAATATTTGCTCATATCTCCATCACAGCTCCGCCACAACCACTTTTCATAAATATACTTTGATGGACCTACAGACAGTTTTCTACTTGATATCATAAACTTAGAAGAATTTTAATAATAAATTTAATATATGTGGTGGTAGTTATGCTGTTAAACATTTTGTAAATTGAATACAAATTGACAAAGAACAGAAAACCATTTTGTGCAGTGTCATGGGTATTTTTTGTGTAATGTCTATACAATTGACAGCGTTGCTGCCTTGTTTTCTTTTTTGAATAAAATGATTAAATTATATATATATATATATATATATATATATTAGTAAAGAGCAAATCTAGTTTTTGTTCTACCTCCCCCCATTTCTCTTTCATTCTCTCTGTCTTGCTGTCTCAATAATTTAACGTTTGAACCATTTCAGTGAAGAGTGGTGCCCAGTTACTGACACACCTGGTGAAAGAAGACGAGGAGAAGGAAAAAGAAAAACTTGTCCCCACAGTGAAGCGCGTTCAGGTATGTCATTATAAACATACTCAAATTCTTATCCAAGTATTTATTCAGAGGATTGGTTATGATTTTGATTTCAAAACCCAGACTTAGAAGTTTGTCTGTCTGTCTGTCAAGTTTTCTTGGTATTCTGCCATCCAATATAAGATGCCTGTAATATTTTGCCTTATTGATTTTCAGTGAAATGCTTATAAATCAATAACAAAAGTTATTATAAACAGGAATTGTCTGCCCAGTAAATTATTCCATTGTCTCTTGTCAGTTTTCTGTGATGAATTTACAAAATGGTTTGTTCATCACACTTGGGATTTAGGGGTAGTTTATTTAAGAAATATGAGGACATGTTTTTATTTTTTATTTATTTTTTATTTTTTTGGTCATCAGGACGTTACCCCCTCACCATCAATGAAGTCCTTCAAGACATTACTGACACAGGAGTTTGGACCAGGAAAGACCACACCACCCAAAGGTATGTACATGTAAATAGGTCACATTGGCATTGATACTGATACAATATATTGTTGATCATCTTTTGGGCCTGGCTATATCTATTTTTCTATCTATCTATCTATATATATATATATATATATATTTTTTTTTTTTGCTATGATGTTTCCCAAATTAAGATTGAAATAAGAAAGGGGTTATTGCATATCATTTTGTTGCTGTTTTTCTTAATAAGCCCAAAGTAGTTGGTGGGAGATAACAAACATAGTAAAAAAAGTGATGTAATAAGTATCTGTTTGTCAAGATTTTAAATTTTGGTTTCTTTTAGTCACAAATGGAACAGTGAAGCTAGATATCTCTGACAGCAGCAACATGGAATATTCTCCAGCTAGCAGTCAGGACTTGGAGGTAGGAGTTAATGAAAAATAAAAAGAAAAAAGATATGTTTAAAACTTGAAAATTTCATCACTTAAAAATTGATAAATATTTTTAAGTCTGTGAACCTAACATGGCCATATTAGGTGACAAATTTTTCAAAATTATTAAGAGGCTAATTTTCAAGTTTGACAGCATTTTCAATGTGAAAAGAATTGCGTTGGCATAGAATGGTCTTCTGACAAAATTTTCAACTATGACTAAATTTTCAAGAATGGAAATTTCCCCAAACTGATGGTTTTGAAATCTGAACATCATAAGGAGTTACATTTTGCAGAAAATTCCCCAAAAATTGAGTCTTGAAAAAAAAAAAAAATAAAATAACAGATTATTGTACATATTTTTGATATTACAGATGAACAAATTCCCCTTAAATGTAACACAGTATTTATACACATGCATTTAAATCTGCTGGTAGCAATTTTAAGATTTTTTTTTTTTAAAGCCCACTTTTCTCTCTGACTCTATGATTTTCATCTTTTCATTTCAGGCCCAGAAGAAGGAGCGAGAGTCTATAAAGGACAGTCCAGAATCTGTTAAACTGTTTTCATGGCTGCAAATTTTGACAGCTATTTTTGGATCTTTTGCTCACGGTGGTAACGATGTCAGGTATGATTTATTTAGGGTAATTACTCAATGAAGTCGGGCAGCCGGAATAAATCATTTCTAGCCCCCCTTGCCCCCCCCCCCAAAAAAAAAAAAAAAATAAATAAATAAATAAAATAAGCTCTTTAAGCTAGTGAATTACGAAATAAAGTCAGTGTACATGAACTGTTCTTTTTGTATTGAAAAAGATTTGCTGTAGCATCTCTTATATTACAATGGAAAAAAATTAATGAGGCCCTCTGATGACAGGGCGAAACATCACATTTCAGCTTGAGTCCTCGCGGAATTGGATGGACCTACACAGACTGATAGTTTCAATGGGAATGGGGCCTATGGGGCCTATTGGGGTGCTTTTACTGTTTAGAAAAAACTATGGGGTAGCCGGCTTTTCAGTTTTGTTGCTACCACTCCATAATTTTTTTTTTATTTCAGTAACTTTAAGACTACGTTGACCATTGGTGTCTATGGCAGTGGTGGTCGTAAAAACATAATTTTTTTGTGATTCCTTAATAAAGTTTCTGAAAGATAAATCATGTTTGCCCACTGAAAGATCTAGTCATTACCCTTTGTTTCACCACCCCTTGATTATTATCTTTTTATTACAGCAATGCAATAGGTCCCCTGGTTGCTCTGTGGATCATTGGTCTGGAAGGGAGTGCCCAGCAGAAGTCTGCCACGCCCATTTGGATCCTCCTCTATGGTGGAGTAGGCATTTCTATTGGCCTGTTTGTCTGGGGGAGGCGTGTCATTAAGACTATGGGGGAGGACCTTACCAAGATCACGCCCTCAAGGTAATGATTGATGGGCGTCAAGACCATGAGTATGTCAGAGTGGGGATGTGTGTGTGCATGCGTGGATGTGTGCGCGTGCATGTGTGTGTCAGAGATAGAAAGATGTGGGATAATGCCTTTTAGTTCAAAATTTTAGAAAGTAAGTTTTTAAATAAACTAATAAGTGAATTAAGATAATTTCAGCAAAAGCTTGTGCGTAGATTAATGATTTCATTTCAGAAATTGTGCATTGGTGCAGTACAGTGTATTTATGGTGGTTAAAAACTCAAGTCCAGACCTTGTAGAAACTTTGCCAGAAATGGCATCTGTTTGCAAAATGTTAAAAGATTAAATGCAGTGCCTACCTGAATACATGTGCAGATCTGCTAAGCTTGTCTGTGCTGCTTGCAAATATTACTAAATAATAAATAATAAAGACATTACGTATAAAAAAAAATAAAATTGGTAATTTAAATTTTCCATTGACTGGGAGTTAGCACCTTGTACACATAATGTGAAGGGTAAGATTGCCTCCTTTTTTATTTCAGTGGTTTTTGTATTGAGATTGGCTCCGCCCTCACTGTCCTCGTTGCATCCAATATCGGCATTCCTGTCAGCACCACGCATTGTAAAGTGGGATCCATCGTAAGTGTCGGGAGGTTCCGATCAAGAGCGAACGTGGACTGGAAACTTTTCCGTAACATTTTTTTGGCATGGATTGTGACACTGCCAGTTAGCGGTGGCATCAGTGCTGCCCTCTTTGCTGGGTTGAGATTGCTAGTTCCGCACTGAGAGGTCTTAGGTCATGTGATTGGAGAAAATTGCTAGAAGAAACAAGGGAAGGTCAAAATTATAACAAGAAAGAATGAAGGTTGAATTTGATGCATAGTATTTCTGAAGTAGGCAGAAAAAGATGAAACTAAGTCAATTGATTGGTCCAAGACATCACGGATGTGTTATAGGGGAAAGTTCTTTCAAAATTCAGTAAAATCATCGCACATGTTTCAAAAGGAGTTGAATGAATAGGAAATAAAGTTTAGAGTACATTGATAGTAGGGTTGCTGAATGTTAAATTTATGATAATTGTTTTGCAATGTGATCCAAGATCGCACATATTAAGAATTTTTTTGGTCCAGGAATGATTTCCAAGATTGCAACAGGCAAAATCGTTCCAAGTTATAACTGTGAATAGTGAATTGCTCAGTTTGGGTTTTGATTGAATTTATTTTTAGAATGCACTTCATTGTTTAACAATATTTAAAAAAATAATGATAAAAAATAAAAAAAACCTTTATAGTAAATAATGGTAATGAAGGGATTGGATTTTTAAGAAAATTTCAACAGATAAAATCGAGTGGGTCTGTATACAGACAACCATTGTTGCAGAATACCAAGTTTGATTTTGCCAATTGGAAAGTGAATTTTAAGTCGATAAGACTAACTACAAAAACATGTATATTTGTGCAGATATATACATAAATGTGCCCTACTGTTACATGTACATGTATAAGAGCTGTGTTAGCAGAGCATGAATGTCTTCCCAGTGCAAATTTTATTTATTAGTCAAAATGATAACCTAAAAAAAAAAAAAGAAAAAAATAAGGAAAAGAAAAATAAATCTTAAACTCCTTGTGCTAATGTTAGCTTTGCCACACAATTTTTTAACTTCATTACAATTTTTTTTCTGGTAGTTTTTCATATCTGAACCCAGTTTAAATGTTTCAGTTTTGTTTTCACCCGTTTGTTTTCATTTGATTTGTTTTGAATTGTGTATTCAGTTTAGCAGCCAAACAGCAAAATGTCCCCATGTTTATTTGTAGTTAGAAAAATGACCAGGATTAGGTCAAGGACAGGCCATGTAGGTCAAGGTTAAGCCAGTGAATGCACAAATAGGTCAAGTTAAGGTCAGTGTGCATAAATAGGTCAAGGTCAATATTATGTAAGTATATGGGGTACAAGTACATGCAGTTCAGGGTAGATTATTATTCCTTTATTGGTTCTTTGTATGGAACAACTGCCAAAGATTACAAACGAAAAACAATTGAAGTATGTACAAAGCACTCTGTATTCTACAAGTATTGCTATACTGCCAGTATCCTTCACCTTATATTTTTTGTTAGTATTTAAGTTTTATGTAGACACTTTCCGGCTTGAGTGTGACCACTGTTATTTGATGAATGATTGTATTTTATATGCACTAGTTATGTTATAATTTATGATTGTTTTACTGCCACTTAGTTTTAATTCTCATGAATGTTAGACATACGAGTACAATGTGCAGGCATTGTGGGTAGTTCACAGTGCGACATATACATTTTGTCTGGTGTGATAGCATTGGCATCAGAAATACCAATGTTATTGTTTACCAATACCATAATGCATTTCACATTGTTAATTTTTTCTAATGCTACATGTACTGTATTTGTCCATCAAAAGGCTGTACTTTTGGCGTTGAAATACTGTATAAATGCTGCATCGAATAAATAAGAATAAACAAAATGATAAATTATCACCCTTGGATAATTATTGTTAACTAAATTATGACAAAGCTATCAATAGTGAGTACATTTAAATCAAAGGGGCAAGGTCAATTTATATTTACTGACACATGTTTACTGTATCAGTACTTATACTTCTAGCTACATGTACATGCAAATGCTGTTATTAACACTTAAAAACATTTATAAACATATGTAANTTTTGGTCCAGGAATGATTTCCAAGATTGCAACAGGCAAAATCGTTCCAAATTATAACTGTGAATAGTGAATTGCTCAGTTTGGGTTTTGATTGAATTTATTTTTAGAATGCACTTCATTGTTTAACAATATTTAAAAAAATAATGATAAAAAATAAAAAACCTTTATAGTAAATAATGGTAATGAAGGGATTAGATTTTTAAGAAAATTTCAACAGATAAAATCGAGTGGGTCTGTATACAGACAACCATTGTTGCAGAATACCAAGTTTGATTTTGCCAATTGGAAAGTGAATTTTAAGTCGATAAGACTAACTACAAAAACATGTATATTTGTGCAGATATATACATAAATGTGCCCTACTGTTACATGTACATGTATAAGAGCTGTGTTACAGAGCATGAATGTCTTCCCAGTGCAAATTTTATTTATTAGTCAAAATGATAACCTAAAAAAAAAAAATAAAAAATAATAAGGAAAAGAAAAATAAATCTTAAACTCCTTGTGCTAATGTTAGCTTTGCCACACAATTTTTTAACTTCATTACAATTTTTTTTCTGGTAGTTTTTCATATCTGAACCCAGTTTAAATGTTTCAGTTTTGTTTTCACCCGTTTGTTTTCATTTGATTTGTTTTGAATTGTGTATTCAGTTTAGCAGCCAAACAGCAAAATGTCCCCATGTTTATTTGTAGTTAGAAAAATGACCAGGATTAGGTCAAGGACAGGCCATGTAGGTCAAGGTTAAGCCAGTGAATGCACAAATAGGTCAAGTTAAGGTCAGTGTGCATAAATAGGTCAAGGTCAATATTATGTAAGTATATGGGGTACAAGTACATGCAGTTCAGGGTAGATTATTATTCCTTTATTGGTTCTTTGTATGGAACAACTGCCAAAGATTACAAACGAAAAACAATTGAAGTATGTACAAAGCACTCTGTATTCTACAAGTATTGCTATACTGCCAGTATCCTTCACCTTATATTTTTTGTTAGTATTTAAGTTTTATGTAGACACTTTCCGGCTTGAGTGTGACCACTGTTATTTGATGAATGATTGTATTTTATATGCACTAGTTATGTTATAATTTATGATTGTTTTACTGCCACTTAGTTTTAATTCTCATGAATGTTAGACATACGAGTACAATGTGCAGGCATTGTGGGTAGTTCACAGTGCGACATATACATATACATTTTGTCTGGTGTGATAGCGTTGGCATCAGAAATACCAATGTTATTGTTTACCAATACCATAATGCATTTTACATTGTTAATTTTTTCTAATGCTACATGTACTGTATTTGTCCATCAAAAGGCTGTACTTTTGGCGTTGAAATACTGTATAAATGCTGCATCGAATAAATAAGAATAAACAAAATGATAAATTATCACCCTTGGATAATTATTGTTAACTAAATTGTGACAAAGCTATCAATAGTGAGTACATTTAAATCAAAGGGGCAAGGTCAATTTATATTTACTGACACATGTTTACTGTATCAGTACTTATACTTCTAGCTACATGTACATGCAAATGCTGTTATTAACACTTAAAAACATTTATAAACATATGTAAGCAACTACCATGTTCAGCATTTGTTTTACCTAAAATATACTTAGAACATACCATATTTGATATATAATTTAAATACAGCAACATTTTAAATGAACTTGGATGAACATTGCAAACCTGCCAATGTACGAATGTACCCATATAGTAAGAGAAAATATTAACTTGTATACAGCAAAGACCTACTGGTAAATGATCAGATAGCTTTTTAATATTTTTTTATTCTTAAGCGGTAAAGTCTAATGACAAATTTTCATATTAACAGATCATGCTGACTCGGATACTGCACCAAATAACCATCGTTAGTGTGCAACATTGGCCCATATCCTGGATAACCGTCATCAGAGAGTTACATTGACCTAGATATTTATCATAAAATTTAATGGGTCACACTGACCCAGAAACTGGTTATTATTTTGTGAAGCAGAACGTATAAGACGCTGGACATTGGTGACGATGTCATTATCATCACACTTTTTGTTCATGAAATAAAATGTTAAACAAGTGGCTAATTGGTAGTTAAGTTCGTCTTCCTATTTGGGTGCCAACTGCCCTATTTGAAAAACATACCATAATATTATATAAATATGTAATGAAATACGAAATTCCACGGCCCGCATTAAATAATATATTAGATTCCCCGCTTCCCACGGGTTGTCTCAACACTGGCAGACCAATTAAATGTCGGCCTACTTTCAAGTGGGTCGCGCCATATTTGATCCGCGGACTAGTTGGTTGTGAATGCTCCCATAGAGGGGTAGTTGGACAGCGAATAGTAACCGCTTATCTAATGAAGGGCGTTTACATCCCCTGTACCGATTTACAACATGTAGCCCTACAAGGGTAGTAGTCGAGGTCTTTTTCATGAAAAAATTGAAAATAAGGAAAATCGTTACTTAATTAACTAACTGGGTTATTACAAGCATCAATGTAAATTGTATTTACTCACTGTATATATAAATTAATTGGTATCGTAGTGGCAACCATAAAATTAAATCGTTAAATTTCGTTTAGAGAATTGAAACTGAAAAAGTGCAATTTTTCGTTTTTTGTATATTTCACTGGTGTAACGTGTTGATAGCGTTACAAGTTGATAGCCTCTGGCTTGAATGGCCTGGGGGTCTTCATTTGGAATCAAAAGTCGACGCGTCACTACATTTTACAGGAATGTGCTGCGAGGAAGTAGTGGCCTTATTGAATATAAATCCGTGAGAGCAAAATAAACAATTGTAACTAACCACAAAGGTAGGCTGATACGGGTATAGACTTGGGAAAACTAGCACCATTTGAAGCACAACTGCGCATGTCTAGCTCTCGCAAGTCACAAAGGTTGCGACTGTCACAAGCACCGTCAGCCCCTAAACAAGCTCATTGTTGTCAGTACTAAAGCAGGGCTATCATCGACGGTAAGTTACTGCATTAGTTATGAGATTTAAAGTAAATCGTTTTGTAATTTTGGGATATAAGGAAAAATAGCATAATTGTCATTCTCTTTTGCAAGCAGAACATTGCAGAATTAATGATACCCTGTATGTATGTATTTTTGAAGCTCAAAAGGTGAAATTAAATATTTGAAGGATTAGAATCTTGCAGCTACAAGTAAAATTGAAAAAAAAAAAAAAAAAAAAAAAACATTAGTCATTTACATTCATGTAAAACTGGGAACTATTATAACGGTATAATGTGACATGTACATGTATTAATATTAATGTTCGTTTTTGTTAGCGTATCGTGGGCTCTTTTCCAGAGAATACCGGCGAATTTTCATTATCACATTATAATTATTATATTCATTCCAAAACTGTGTTTTAAAAAATGATAAGTATGCAACAGAATGTGCAAACCGCAAACGTTGCAACTCTCTGACTTTATGACGCTGAAAAAACATGTTTATAGAGCTATTTTTTTGTCAATGCATGAAGAGAAGGGAAATTACACGAGTAAAAATATGACCTACATGGAGATTTTCTCCTGCAAAAGCTTATAAATATTGTCATTCAATTTGCTTTTAACATCATCAGTACTCAAAGAATGGGTTAATACATGTAGATAACACATTTGAGATAAGTTGTCCAGATGTACCAACCTATAGGACTCTCCACTGGGAGATGTGTTCAAAGGGCCCCCTCTCTACATCATTTAAGGGGTCACTTCTATACTACAATTGTATGCATCCGACCTGTCGTAAAATTTCAAGTCAGTCCTGTGCTGCCTGTTTAGTTGTAACAAAAAGTCGCTTTCTGACAAAACTTTGCCTCATTATTTAATGTTTTTGATGAAAAATGATTTAATTAAACTGTTTATCATAGAAACCATCTGCATTCCCCTGTAAGAGAGCCCCACTAGGGCGGGGAGGGGGGTGTGGAAGGGTGAACACAGATCAAGGGAAATAAACCATCAGTTCACATATCACAATAAATAAAACTTTATTTATATCTCATTGAAAATGAGAGTTGAAAATCACGAATCACGTAGTATAATTACATTGTATTACTAAGGACGAAGAATAAAAAATCGCTTTCACGAGCCGAGGGAGCAGGATGCTTCAGGATAATGCTATTTCATATGAACGTATCACCTAATCCATCTCGGGAAATAAAACGTGGCATTTAGCGATTTACAAAAATACCCAAGAGACCATCTTATAATCCTCTGAATGGTGACTATGGAGTCTTTAGTACGAGATGGAGCCTTCAGTACCTCTACCAAATTAAGGCAGTGAGCAGGCCGAGTTCATCCTTGTTGTAATAAAAAAGTGAATATCTAGTACAGCGTTTATATAAAAACCCAATGTATTTAACCATGAAGTCATTACCGCAGGCAATACAAATGCCCAAAGCATCGCGGTTGTTTCTCTCCCTCACATTAATCTGGCCATCAAATTCTGGTGCGTGCTAAACACTGTGCAGCATTGCCAATTATGTTGAGAAAATCTTTATTCTTTTAAATTGTTTTTCGCTTCATTTATAAACTTTTTGACAGCATAAATACAAACTGTGCCTGTGAGAGCTTTTATCCCAATAGTAGGGACTTCTTCACTCACACTGATGCCAATTGACTGTCGACCTCATCATCATCATCATCAGCATTGAGGCACCCGATCACTCCATCAGTTGAGGCAATGTAGAGAACCTGGGAGAGGCACAGCGTGTCTCACATCTGGGACAGGGTGATAGAGAGCGTTCCCATAAACCCATCGTACTGGTGGATCTATCTAACTCTGCGGGAATTCTCGCCAAATTGCATTCAGTGTATGCGGCTTTAATGTCTGGTGCGCCTACTCAAACCTCTAGAGGTAATTAGGATAGGATAGTCAATTATCCCCTAGTTACTCAAGGGAACGTGCCAGACAATTAAGCTGATTACACCAAATGCAATTTAGCGAGAATCCCCGCCAAGTTAGATCCATCAAGCACGATGGGTTTATGGGAACGCAGTCATAGTGAGCAGTTCTCACTGGACTGGCCACTAAATGCACGGTCTCTTGACATCGGATAGTGACCGGATGAAAGCTCTCACAGGTATGCTTTGAAAAAAAGCTTGTGCAGAAAATGAAAAGTTCGAAATTTTCTCAACATGTCTGACTGTCACAGTTTAAATACGAGAGGACATACCCTTTCCCCTATAATGGCGATTCGTTGCTCAAGAGCTGCCAAAATAAGCCTGTACAGTCGGTGTGACGCGACAGAGACCACCATGAAGAGAGTCCGCTTCTCATTCATTTGTACGGGTGAGTCTCGTCCCAGATGTTGACCCACTTAGATCAGGCTAACCCTAACCATTATAATTAAATGGAGGGCGGGCCTTCCGTTACAAGGACGCTCAGTTTCGTTACTGGGTATTCCACCTTAAAAGGCACAGACCCACCGAGCCGATTCTTCCTACCCAAAATTATGTCTGCTAAAACCTCGTTAGTTTCAAGGTCAGAGTTGTTGGCGTGCATTTTTTACAAGGATTTTCACTTCGGAATGGGTGACTTTCAGCAAGTGATACTTTTTATGTGTGAATTTCAATTGAAATTGCCCGTAGGTACTCGTGTCTGCTGCCTTTTTTACTGCGGAAGTCTTTCCACAATAGTTGTTCAATTATCTTGTTGATTGTAAAAAATAAATACAAAAAGAAAAGAAAGAAAAGGAAATAATAATAATAATAATAATAATAATAATAATAATAATAAAAACCACATTTTTTCCCGGGGCATCGTCAAATTTCAGTAATTTTACAAAATACATCCCAAAATTCATATCTAATGCAGTTCTTGAAAATGTATTTTAGAAAAATATATTTTTTCATATCCAATACGCCTTTCTCAAAACTATCGTTTTTAGTATCATAAATGTACCATGCGATCTTTGGTTTCAAATATACATTTTTTGTCATTACGTTACTATGTGTCTGTGAGAAAGTCACGTCGTGCCCTGAGGCTCTGTGAGTAATAGCTTCAATTTTGTGTGGGAACTTGTGATCTTGTATCTCCCCGAGGTTTACAATAGACCTGGCATATGAACACATGCATTTTATAAGATTTTAATCATGATTTTGTTGTTTTTTTTCTCACTGACACACATTTTTCATTTCCTTGTGCCCTCCCCCCATCCCACTCTATCTAGCAATATCATAGATCTGTTGTAACAGGAATAGTAGTCCGCTAGCAACCGTAGTCCGCTCCCCCATTGCCTTTTACAGGTGACATTCGTCCCATATACTAACCCAAGGGCTCCGTCTAATCCTAGGAACCCCGGACTACCATTCCTGTCACACCGGCAATGCTGTCTTTTCTGTCTTTTAATCCCCATTTGTTTTCAATACGAAAAAATAATTTTGTTATCAATTTTCAGATCAGCAAATATCAGTCAATTAAAGGCAAGATGAGGATGTTAATACGAAAGTTTAGGACGAGACGTGTACGACTTGCCCTACTTCAGTTGGGTGCGGTGTTTGCCGTACTTAAGTTAATTAATATGATGTGGATGGGGATGCATAAACTAGTAAAGGATTCAGGTATGTCCCTTGTCACGGGATTGTAGACGATCTCACTTTCAGAGGTCTTTTATGTGCTATGAATATTATGATAACATACAAACACACACATCCCTCTCTCTCCTCTCTCTGTCTGTCCACCTCGTTCTTTCAGAACCTAGGCGGTCATGGATCTCCATGGTTTTTTTAATGGCATTTCTGATAACCTCAGTTTCCGGTGTAAGCACAAACATTTTATTGACAAAAACACAATGATTTTAACTTTAGTTTAGTCCAGGTGGCCTCGACGTTATATTCGACGCCGAAATCTATAACTATTTCGTTACTTGATCACTCATTCCAAAAACAATTAAGACACATTGAGAACTTCGCTTTTTTACATCGAGAACTTTGCTTTATTTTTACACTCACTACACCAAGTATTATATATTCTTGTTCAAAACTGACCAGTTTGGAGGTCAATACGGTATAATATTGACCCGCACGTGACTGCTCTCGATCAATCAGTGAGGGTCAAAATTCGCTATCTTATACATGTAACAATAGCATACAAACACCATAAACACAAACTACAGGCCTACCCAACTACCAGACTCGGCACCGAATGATCCTGAATTCACCGGTAGGTCGAACCACACTGCCCGTTTTCAAGGTGTGCGTCTGTACGCATTTCACAGTATCATACCCTGGAACAAATTTTGATTTGAGATGCAGTGCTACTTTCAAAACCCCTCTGAGAATCATCACTATCACATCGCTAGGCGTCTGATACTTCGAAGGGCGTACTGATACACACATTGAAAACGGGTATTGTGATCCGATCTACCGGTGAAATCAGGATTATTCGGTGCTGAGTCTGGTTGTTGGGTAGGCCTGAACTAGGACCGACTGAGCAACAAATATTGCCAAAGGCAGACTATAGAAAACACCGTTGCCCAAGGGAATATTTTGTTCTTTTTTGTTCTCACAATTTAACCAGCTATACTACTTCATCAAAAATGTAGAACTTCTCTTGTGAGAAGCTGGAGAAATAAACTGATGCTTATAATTTTGCTAAATGGAAAACGTTACATCAAATGGTACAATAGGTTCAAAAGGGTTAAACTTTGGGTTTCGTATGTAGAATTACAGATGGATATGAAGTTCAGAGGGTCGATGGGTTGGGACCAACGAATCAACTTCACAATCGTCACAGGCGCGAACCACAAGTACTTTTCACCAGCTCTCGTCAACCACGTCGGGTCCTTCTGTTTCTGGGAACCATCTCTCAGAATCGTGGTGTGGGACCTCGGCCTGACCGCCGAAGAGGCGGAGACCGTGAAAACCTGGCCGAGCGTGACGTACAGGAGGTTCCCCTTTGAAAGGTACCCCTCTCATCTGCGTGACCTGCACACGTACGCCTTTAAACCCGTCGTCATCAAGCAGATGGTGGATGAATTGGGGGCAGTGCTTTGGGTGGACGCTGGCAGCCACATCAGTGGAAAAATGAAACAACTTATGACGTCCCTTTTTCAAAAAGATGGCTATGTCTTCATCGGTGTGCCTGGAAATGGGGAGGTGACTAAATGGACACACCCCGGTATGTTTTCCCATTTCAAGATCACGAAAGGACCATACGTAGGCAAGACTTCCTTTGCTGGGGGGTTGAACGGCTGGCTGAGACAAGGGGATATATACGACAAGATACTGGTTCCATGGGAAAAATGTGCGCTGTTTGAACGCTGCATCTCTCCTGTTGGGGCACACTTGCGTAACCATAGATACGACCAAGCCGCTCTCTCGTTGCTAGGATACACCTACATGTTTACGTATAATAGGACTTTATATCAACATACAGAACTAAGGGATATTGTACAAGAATCAAGAGGACACAATACTACGTACATGGAGTATGTAAAAGCATGTAATGGTACAAGAATAGCATAAAATTTAAAATGGCGTCTAACCTGGGCATTTCAGTGGGAAAAGTAGAAAAGCACTCAGAGAGCGCAGACCTTTGTCAAGGACCCTTCACTGATAGATTCCTCTGGTAGATTGTGGTTGTTGAGATCACACCCATTGCACCAGGTCATTGTCACTTTATCGCAATCCTATAAAAACGTCTTTTTTCAACCCCGCACTGATGGGTTGCACTGGTAGATTGTGGTAGTTGAGATCACACCATTCTTCGTGATCATTGGCACAATCTGGCAAACTTTGAACAATTTTTGGATCCGGCTCCTGATCAAGATCACGAACCACCACCAAAGTCTAATCACTTTTAAGTTAGCCCATTTTCTGACTTATCCCGGAAATTACATTGAAATCCATAAATATTTTTTTTAATTATAAGGCTGGTGACAAACAAAAAGACCGAAATACGAGATGAACTTTTATGAATAATAAAAAATAATAAACCTTTGATTTGTGTAAAAAGGGAAGTGAAACATTGAAATCTTTGTTTTTATATAATCTTTATTCTTGTGAGTATATAGGTTTTAACAGGGATGACAGCTTGGATGAAAAGTTTTGCAGCATTCTTCATGATCATTGGGAAGTGAATATTTTAAGAAATAATTATGGCAGCTTTTATTTTAATATATTCTGATTTAACTATGAGTATACCAGCTTTTCCTATCACTGAATGTCAAAGATAAAACATGCATTCGTATCCCAGATACAAATATATAAATATAAAAACAGTATAAGAAATACGAAATAAGTGGGATTTGCCACGTAGTATTAATGGTATGTAAAAGGTAATGGGTAGTTTAATAGGGTGTGCCTCATTATATCGATATAATACCTGTTTTCTGTAATTATAATTATTATTCTTTGGACAGTTACATGTTGAATTCTGAGGATAAAACTATCCAGTGGATATAATTATTTTCCTCTATAATTATTTTCCTTAAGATAACACTATCCAATGGCTGTAACTATTATCCTCTGGACAGACATTTTGAGGATAACACTATCCATGGGATATAATTATTTTCCTCTATAATTATTTTCCTTAAGATAACACTATCCAATGGCTGTAACTATTATCCTCTGGACAGGCATTCTAAGGATAACACTATCCATTGGATGCAATAATTATCCTCTGGACAGACATTCCGAGGATAACACTATCCATGGGATACAATTATTATCCTCTGGAGAGGAGTTATTTGGAGGATAGCAGGCACCCATTTTAACCAGTGGGTACTATCATTCATCAAAGTAATTATCTTCTTTGCTCATAGGATAACTGTCCAGAGACAGTGTTGGGCACCATCTTGATGGCCTGCATATAGTGAAAAAGAAATAGTAAAATCTCACACAAGTTTGAAAAAAACAACTTAGCTGGCCAAATACCAACCAATATATTTTACTTTATCAGTTGGCTCTGATACCACTATGGACGCAGAAGTAATGTTTATGCCAAAATATCAAAATATATTTAAAGCGTGTAGCTGTTAGATCTCGTGGAGCGGCACCCATGCCAAAGGAGGTAGAAAGGCAAACAGCTGGCAGTGACACATATTCCAAGGAACAATACTCCCAACTGCAAAAATAATAAAAATAAATAGATAAATAAATAAATAATTAAATAAATAAATAAATAAATAAATAAATAAATAAATAAATAAATAAATAGAAATGGTAATGGTCATTATGGTCAGTTATCAACATTACAGAACTGTAAATTAATGTTCAGCATTTATTATCAAACAAAATATACATTATCCCAAAGGAAACAGTCCTCAAAAAGTATGTTTGCAGTTGCTTGCTGGATAAATACTTTCAAAGTTGTTTTGTTATTTGCACATTGTACATTTTCAGCACAATCAGCCTATTGTGTGAACGTCAAACCTGATTCGATAATTTCGGTAAATACTTCAATATTACATACTTAAGGAACTAATGTCTTTTTGCCTTATGTTGCCTTCCCTGAATACATTATAGAATAAAATTATGTACAATTTAAATCCCATACATACCCAACGCGGGTCACTTTCCAGGCCGTACTTGTACCAGGAAAATATTGGTATTTCAAGGAAATTCAGGAAACTACTGACTGCAGCCTGTATTCCGTATGTCTTTCCAAAATGTTCCTGTGGAAACCTATAATATATATGTTTTTAAGGCGCAGGTCAATAAAGGGGTTAACGTACCTACGAGATTCTTTTATTATTTTCCAGATCTCGCACTGAAGGCGAACATTTTCGTTTTGGTAACACACAGTCATCTTTTATAAAACTAAATAATACTATAAAATATTTTTGTGTAAATGAGGCCAAACAAAGGTGAGCGGTGTGAAAACAAAGCTAAAATTGGTCAAAGCATCGAGGTGAAAACGGTACGACCGCATTCAGAACACGTTGATGATCGACGGATTAACAGATCCGCGAATCAAATGTGTCCTTCCCACTTAAAAGCTGGGTGCAAAACTCCCTACTACACACTGAATTGATGCCCCAATTACGCGACAAGCTATCAAGTGGTCCGGCCACATTTGATCCGTGGATCTGTTAGTCCACTGTTATGAATGCGACCTATAAAGATCACATGGGTATCATATCATAAGAATAAAGATTTTCTCGACTGTGCCAAGGAACTAAAGACACGTATCCATCTTAAACCTTCAGTTTGGGGGACATAAAAAAAAAAAAAAAAAAAAAAAAAAAAAAAAAAAAAA